TGGTGTGCTTCTTCCTTGTGGGTTTTGTTGTTTCTTAGCTAGATGGCCGTCTGTTTGTCTTCAAGCCTGTAAGACCCCAGATGCTGTATCATTTGATAGTCAGGCACCATCTGCTTTCTTCCCCACTTTTGTTAATGCACCCCCTATGTCCTCAGCGATCGAGCAGGGGTAGGCTGGTGTGCTTCTTCCGTGTGGGTTTTGTTGTCTCTCAACTAGATGGTGCTTGTTTATCTTCAGGTCTTTAAGGCTTCAGGTGCTGTATCTTTTGGTAGCCAAGCATCATCCGCTTTCTTCACCACATTTTCTTGTGCACCCATTGTCTTCAGCAATAATATCAGGTAGGTGAGCATCTCAGACTGCCTAATTGTTAGAACAAAGTGTTCTTGTGCTGGGGGAGCACTTAATACTGAACATTTTAATCAAAGATGCCATGGAAGAATCCAGATCCAAAGGGGGAAGATACAGAACAGAATTTCAGATTTTCTTGGACTTTCTGGGACTTTGGAGGCTGGATGTGCCCCTGAAACTATAGTCCTAAGATTCATTTGTCTTCAACCAAAAGTATCCTCCCAAATCATCTCTAAACCAGAGACCAGTGAAGCTTGTGGGAGCAGCAATGTGCCGTGCCTGCCTTTGGCACAGTGCAATCTTGCCTGACTTTTCCATCCCATATCCCCCGGGATGTATTCTCCTCCTCCGACAGTCTTCTTCCTTCTACAGGTTCTTACTCACGGGCTTTCACTGCCATATGAAGGGGTCAAGCAGTCATAGAAAAATGGAAGTCAAAGATAACGGAATGGAGACATCAGACACAGCTCGCCAACCTAGGGCACAGAACATTCACTTTATAAACTGTCTTATGCCAATTGGTTAAACGATTCCATGAGACTATGGTCTTTTTACCCAGGAAACCAATCCCGTGATTCTTTTTTACATATGTCTTAGAAATTAGGACTCTGATGCTCTGTGCTTTCTTGCATATATCTGCAGCAGACACAAGCATATGCACGTGCCTGTAAGGTACACCTATGCATACGAATCCATGGAGTCACATGCCTATATATCCATGTATGTGTACATATCAACTGTGTAACCACACATTTTTGGTCACTATTACTATTGCAAGATTGTATATGTTGTGGTTTTTACTGTA